GGGGGAAAACCAAATTCTTGGGTTGTCACTGGAACAGGAGTCGAAGGGAAATCCCCAGTGTGTACATTTGGTCTGCTGTCAACCATCTATGAAGGCATATCCTCTCACTTTGGAGAGATCTTCTCTTACTTCCTGCTTTGTTTTTGGGCCAGGAAATGAAGGGAAATCCACTTGATGAGGGGTCTTAACCATTGCCTACTTTATTAAAAATTAATCGCTACGGAATTGCAACTTTGTGTTCCTCATCTGCAGCTTTCTAAGTATCTGCCTTCTGTCTGCCCTTCTGCCTTAACTCTTTCCAGGTAGAAGATGGAGTCTTCCCGGCCTTTGGGGTTCTCCTGGATTTGACTGGCTTGTTTTTGAACTACTACCCTCAGCATTCGTTGCTGGATACATCTACATGAACACTCTTACGTTCTATGAACATGGACCACGTTCACTTTACGGAAATGATTCCTTCCAACTGAAGGTTAAAGTGCATTCACTCTCTCCACCCATCCTGGTGGCCATTGTCTCCTGTACTAAAAGTGATGGGAAACCCAAATTCTTGGGTTGTCACTGGAACAGGAGTCGAAAGGGAAATCCCCAGTGGGTACATTTGGTCTGCTGTCAACCATCTATGAAGGCATATCCTCTCACTTTTGAGAGGTCTTCTCTTACTTCCTGCTTTGTTTTGGGACCAGGAAATTAAGGGAAATCCACTTGATGAGGGGTCTTAACCATTGCCTACTTTATTAAAAATTCATCGCTAGGAATTGCAACATTGTGTTCCTCATCTGCAGCTTTCTAAGTATCTGCCTTCTGTCTGCCCTTCTGCCTTAACTCTTTCCAGGTAGGAGATGGAGTCTTCCCGGCCTTTGGGGTTCTCCTGGATTTGACTGGCTGTTGTTTTTGAACTACTACCCTCAGCATTCGTTGCTGGATACATCTACATGAACACTCTTACGTTCTATGAACATGGACCACGTTCACTTTACGGAAATGATTCCTTCCAACTGAAGGTGAAAGTGCATTCACTCTCTCCACCCATCCTGGTGGCCATTGTCTCCTGTACTAAAAAGTGATGGGAAACCCAAATTCTTGGGTTGTCACTGGAACAGGAGTCGAAGGGAAATCCCCAGTGGGTACATTTGGTCTGCTGTCAACCATCTATGGAGGCATATCCTCTCACTTTTGAGAGGTCTTCTCTTACTTCCTGCTTTGTTTTGGGACCAGGAAATTAAGGGAAATCCACTTGATGAGGGGTCTTAACCATTGCCTACTTTATTAAAAATTCATCGCTACGGAATTGCAACATTGTGTTCCTCATCTGCAGCTTTCTAAGTATCTGCCTTCTGTCTGCCCTTCTGCCTTAACTCTTTCCAGGTAGGAGATGGAGTCTTCCCGGCCTTTGGGGTTCTCCTGGATTTGACTGGCTCTTGTTTTTGAACTACTACCCTCGGCATTCGTTGCTGGATATATCTACATGAACACTTGCTCTCTCCACGCATCCTGGTGGCCATTGTCTCCTGTATAAAAAGTCATGGGGGAAAACCAAATTCTTGGGTTGTCACTGGAACAGGAGTCGAAGGGAAATCCCCAGTGGGTACATTTGGTCTGCTGTCAACCATCTATGAAGGCATATCCTCTCACTTTTGAGAGGTCTTCTCTTACTTCCTGCTTTGTTTTGGGGCCAGGAAATTAAGGGAAATCCACTTGAGGAGACACCAATCCTCAAATCTTAACCATTGCCTATTCTATTAAAAATTAAGGGTTCTTTTACACCATATTGGGCAACCTTGGGAATATATAGGGGGTCTATATATTAAAAAAAAATTGCCGTGTGGCTGTCTCAAACATTTGCACAGCTATTTGTCTACTTTCTATGATCGTCGGCTTCAACTAGTGGCCACTAGGTGGTATTTTCCTGATTGGGGGTATTTCAGGAAAATACCACATCATGGCCACTAGATGGAGCTGACGATCATAGGAAGTACACATATTACGGGGATTATTCGGCTGAGACATTCATACAACTTTTTTATTTTTATAACTAGACCCTTTGGACAAGGCACTTCTCCTAATGTCTTATTGCTTCATTTCCCCTCCACACTTTGCACTGGTGAAGAGGCCATTGTATCTTTTCTGATTCTCTTTAAAGTGACGTATATCTTGGGTGGGATAGAAGGAGCACCCATGTCCAGAAAAACTGGAACTTTGATTTATGGTTCATAAGATATTTATTGAATGCATAATCATGTACACCAAGCCAACGCGTTTCGGGGGAACGGACTTCCCTTTCTATAGGGCTGGTGCTGCATACTATTGGATAGGAAGGGTTCCCAAAGTGATATATTGATTACGAGGTTCCGGAAAGCAGAATGGCAGAGTGCTGGACAGGGATGCAGGGACATCGGGCGCTCCTTCCATCCTACCCAAGACTTCTCGTTGAAAGGACTAGAAGGCCATATCAGGAAGGTAGCAGCCTAAACCCCAAGAGTGTCCACCACCACAATTCACCATTAGGCACAACCTGCTGGAAGGTATTTCTTCCTCTTTGCCCACACAATCACCCACCCAAACCCCAAGAGGGTGCACCACCACTGTTCACCATTAGGTACAACTCACTGGAAGGGATTTCTTCCTCTTTGCCCACACATTCACCCACTCAAACCCCAAGAGGGTTCACCACCACCGTTCACCATTAGGCACAACCCACTGGAAGGGACTTCTTCCTCTTTATCCACACAATCACCCACCCAAACAACAAGAGGGTTCACAACCACCATTCACCATTAGGCACAACCCACTGGAAGGGATTTCTTCCTCTTTGCCCACACATTCACCACCACCGTTCACCATTAGGTACAACCCACTGGAAGGGATTTCTTCCTCTTTGCCCACAGATTCACCACCACCGTTCACCATTAGGTACAACCCACTGGAAGGGATTTCTTCCTCTTTGCCCACAGATTCACCACCACCGTTCACCATTAGGTACAACCCACTGGAAGGGATTTCTTCCTCTTTGCCCACACAATCACCCGCCCAAACCCCAAGAGGGTTCACCACCACCGTTCACCATTAGGCACAACCCACTGGAAGGGATTTCTTCCTCTTTACCCACACAATCACCCACCCAAACCCCAAGAGGGTTCACCACCACCATTCACCATTAGGTACAACCCACTGGAAGGTATTTATTCCTCTTTGCCCACACAATCACCCGCCCAAACCCCAAGAGGGTTCACCACCACCGTTCACCATTAGGCACAACCCACTGGAAGGGATTTCTTCCTCTTTACCCACACAATCACCGCCCAAACCCCAAGAGGGTTCACCACCACCATTCACCATTAGGTACAACCCACTGGAAGGTATTTATTCCTCTTTGCCCACACAATCACCCGCCCAAACCCCAAGAGGGTTCACCACCACCGTTCACCATTAGGCACAACCCACTGGAACGGATTTCTTCCTCTTTACCCACACAATCACCTGCCCAAACCCCAAGAGCGTTCACCACCACCGTTCACCATTAGGCACAACCCACTAGAAGGGATTTCTTCCTCTTTACCCACACAATCACCCGCCCAAACCCCAAGAGGGTTCACCACCACTGTTCACCATTGCGTACAACGCACTGGAAGGGACTTCTTCCTCTTTGCCCACACAATCACCCACCCATGACCATCAACTAATCCAGTCACTCCAGCATGGTCTCCAGCACAAAGTAGATATATAATATGTGCTATCAAACACAACCAGAAGCTGAGGGACAGCTTCAATATCCACAAGAGGTCAGGTCATTGACAGAGGAGGTAACAAATCTCAGGGATGAGTCTCCGAGCTCCAGAGTCCTCCTCATTAGGGGACGCATATACATTGTTCATCCAGTACAATTATAATTGGGCGGTTCTTGCCCCAGTCTACCATTGATTGGTTCTCTTTAAGAGTCTTTATTGTTTTTGTATAAAAGGAATTATCTTGGTCCCTTCTGCAGAAACATTTGTTGCAACGACGTCAAGGACCATAAAAAAATGACGTCATCACATGCTATAGGCAGGACATGCTGATCTGAAAAAGGACTACAATGATTGGACGCCAGGGACCATAGGGATGCGTCATGTAAATATATCGCAACGTAGGCTAGATGTACAAGCATGATGGATGGCGAATAGTACGGGATTTGCTGCTTCGGAAAATATTCCAAGTTGAATTATGAACGGAATCCGGGGAAACAGGGCCTCATTCCGAGAGAACAGCGCTGAAAGGGCCTCTGCTGGCTTGTTGTTAGGTTTATCCTGAAGTGTGGCGAGGGGGCTTCAAAAGAATCTGTCATAACACCCCTCTTCCCCCGAAACATACTGTGCAGCATGTTGTTGTAAGCAATTCGCAACCAACCTTTGACCCTTTTGCATGTCATATTACCCAAAGAACATGATTGACACCTCTAATGGCCACCTCTGGGTTTTTTGGTAATTATTCCTAGTTGAAGGGTTAAGTTGAATGTTTAAGGGAACTACATTACCTGGGATGAACCATCTAGCCTTAGAAATCCATATTCCTTAGACGGAAAACCGTTGGAAACTATCTAGGAAAGAAATAAATGGAGAACTTTGAGGAAATGCAAAAACACGCGAGTAGTCTACGCCTAATCACCAGAACATTTCAAAACTTTGGATTCCTTTTTGAGATGTTAAATTCTTCTCCAACCCCAATTTTGGGTCAGCACTGAGCTGAGCAACAGAGACACGTCTAAGGGCAAGAGTGAGGCTCTCCAAGCATGAGCAGAAAGATGATGTAAGAGTTGGGAATGCGAGAGGGAAATAATTTTAGGCGAGGAAAATAGGAGCCTCGCTATTCCAGACAAAGCAGTCCAGCAACGTAGAAAATTTAGAAAAGCCATTTTAATTGCTTGAGCATTTTTTAGACATCCAAATGCATCGCTGTAAGTTTTTAAACTAAATATACGTTTAGTTTTACGTCATTCAACAATTATCCTCTTTTATCCCCAACAGCGTTTTGCATCAGTGCCCCGTTACGTGGAGACTTTGGTTGTTGCAGATGAAACGATGGCCACCTTCCACGGAGCAGGTCTCAAGAGGTATCTGTTGACCGTCATGGCAGCTGCTGCCAAATTCTTTCGCCACCCAAGCCTGAAGAACCCGATCAATGTTGTGGTGACGCGGCTGGTAGTGATTGGGCGGGCCGACAAGTCCAACACCTATGGGGGGCTGAAGATGACCACCAATGCTGCTGAGATGTTGAGGAACTTCTGTGAGTGGCAGAAAGGGCTGAACAAACCCAACGACTCTGATTCGGAACATTTCGACACGGCCATACTCTTCACCCGGCAGGTGTGTTAATTTTTGTAGCACCTAAAATTTTACCAAAATTTTTTTTTTGTGGCACCTAAAATTTTACCAAAATTTTGACTGGATCGTACCAGTTCTTAGGGAACATATGTGTATTTATTACTTACATGAATCCTTGTTGACAGAATCTTTGTGGAGTATCCACCTGCGACACACTTGGCATGGCTGATGTTGGTACAGTTTGTGATCCATCAAGGAGTTGTTCCATAGTCGAGGACGACGGCTTGCAGTCCGCTTTTACCGCTGCTCACGAGCTAGGTAAGCCGAACTGCTCAACAACTGATGGTTTAAAAGAGATGTCTATCAAAATTGATTCCTTCATCTGGTGGAAGGTCATGTAGGCAGTGACGTATTTGATGTTCCTCAAGTGATCTTTCTCAGCTCGTCTGCTATCTACAGGGTTGAGCTAGACCAAGACTCCCAACCACCATTTCCAGTTGATAGAAATAGCATTTGCAATCTTCCTTTCATCTGCCAACAGGCCACGTTTTCAACATGCTCCATGACAACTCTAAACCTTGCATTGAGATTAACCGCCCGGCCAGCAATACCCGTCACATGATGGCCCCTGTTATGTCGTATGTGGATCCAGAAGAGTTGTGGTCACCATGCAGTGCCAAATTCATCACTGACTTCTTGGACAACGACAATGGTAGGTAACCCTATAGCCCGTCTCTCCTACATTGTCAAGTTACTATGATCTTAAAGTCTCAAAGCAGCCACTTAAGCCACGTTTTGACAATATATCTTCCTTCTCCAGGTCACTGTCTTTTGGACAAGCCCTCAGCTCCCCTCCGCCTGCCAGTCCCATTCCCCGGAAACGACTATGATTCTGACCGCCAGTGCCAGCTAACTTTTGGTCCCGATTCTCGACACTGCCCAAACCTGCACACCCCCTGCTCCTCTCTTTGGTGTACGGGAAGGATCGATGGACACTTCATGTGCCAAACTAAGCACTTCCCCTGGGCGGACGGAACGCAATGTGGAGTCGGGAAGACTTGTATGAATGGCCGTTGCATCAGCAAAGTGGAAATGAAAGCCTACAATGTGAGTTCGGTGTATTGTAGACCTCTAAAGGTAGACGTTGGGGGCCAGTTAGATCATATATATCTATATGAGCCAGAAGGAACTCTTTTTTAAGAGTCAGTATGCACGTGGTTGCATTGTTGAGAATATAAAAGTTAGAACAAAAGTTCCATCTGTAGATCTCTAGAAGCCATTTTTTGACCTTCGAGATGCTAGCTATCAATTGCTCATCGTTTGCTCTAAAGCTTCGTAGTTTCAGGGGCGGACTGACCATTCGGGAACTCGGGCACTGCCCGAGGGCCCAGGGTCAGTAGGGGGCCCCATGAGATGCCCCTGGTACCTTTCATAGGTTTTTTGTGGGTGTGGTTTAAGTGTGGGCAAGGATACAGAGGCCCCATGATCCCCTATTGCCTGGGGGCCCCATGAGTTGTTAGTCCGCCCCTGGTGTATGTTGTTAGTTCTCCAACGCAGAGAACTTTGCATTCCTGTTACAATATTGCAACTTTATTTAATTGTTTTATGGTTCATTTTGCAGACTCCGGTGAATGGCGGTTGGGGTCCTTGGGGTCCAAATGGGGAATGCTCACGGACGTGCGGTGGTGGAGTTCACTTCTCCCATCGTGAATGCAACAAGCCAGTCCCAAGAAACGGTGGGAAGTATTGTGAGGGGAAGAGGACTCAATACCGCTCTTGCAACACGCAGGAGTGCCCAACCGGCAACGGTACGTTTGACACACCCAGAGCCAATTTCAAAGTTGTTCGAACTCAATGGCAGGTGATTATAATCTACATTGTAGAGGAGAACTGCCCTTTTTTTTTTTTGCTATCCCAGGGCTGATTTCCATGATTCACAAATATTTGTGAAGTTTGTGATTACCAAAAATCACAAGTTAGATTTTCTCCACATTATATAATGTATGTTTCAGTACATTGAATGAGAGACAAATTCATAATAAACAAGCTGCATGCAGTGTGATCCTAGAGAAGCTCAGTGCTGCCCTCTTTGGGACTGACTTCTCTTTGCCTAAAAATATATTAAAAAGTCATTACTGGTGTCAAAGTTTAACACAGGGGTCTCCAGATTTTCTAAACAAAGGGCCAGTTTACGGTTGTTCAGACCTTAGGGGGACCATTGGGAGTAGAGATTGTCCTGGTGTCAATGGAAGTAAACAATGCATCTTTGGTATTGAGGGGAGGAATAGCGCCCCATCTTTGGTGTCAGTGGGAGAAATAGTGCCCCATTGATGGTGCCAGTGGGAGGAATTGTTCCCCCTTGATGACGCCAGTGGGAGGAATTGTTCCCCATTGATGGCGCCAGTAAGAGGAATTGTTCCCCATTGATGGCGCCAGTAAGAGGAATTGTTCCCCATTGATGGTGCCAGTGGGAGGAATTGTTCCCCATTGATGGTGCCAGTGGGAGGAATTGTTCCCCATTGATGGTGCCAGTGGGAGGAATTGTTCCCCATTGATGGTGCCAGTGGGAGGTGCTCCCCATTGTTGTGGGAGGAATTGTTCCCCATTGTTGGTGTCAGTGGGAGGAAAAGCTCCCCATTGTTGATGTCAGTGGGAGGAATTGTTCCTCATTGTTGGTGTCAGTGGGAGGAATAGTCCCCGTTGTTGATGTCAGTGGGAGGAATCGTGCCCCATTGTTGTGTCAGTGGGAGGAATAGTTGCCCCATTGTTGGTATCAGTGGGAGGAATAGCTCCCCATTGTTGATGTCAGCGGGAGGAATAGCGCCCCATTGTTGGTGTCATTGGGAGGAATAGCGCCCCATTGTTGGTGTCTGTGGGAGGAATAGTTCCCCATTGTTGGTGTCTGTGGGAGGAATAGTGCCCCATTGTTGGTGTCATTGGGAGGAATAGTTCCCCATTGTTGGTGTCTGTGGGAGGAATAGTGCCCCATTGTTGGTGTCATTATGAGGAATAGTACCCCATAGTTGGTGTTAACGGGAGAAACAGTGTCCCGTTGTTGATGTCAGTGGGAGGAATAGCACCCCATTGTTGGTGTCAGTGGGAAGAATAGTGCCCCATTGTTGGTGTCAGTGGTAGTCAGTCAGTGGGAAGAATAGTGCCCCATTGTTGGTGTCAGTGGGAAGAATAGTGCCCCATTGTTGGTGTCAGTGGGAAGAATAGTGCCCCATTGTTGGTGTCAGTGGGAAGAATAGTGCCCCATTGTTGGTGTCAGTGGGAAGAATAGTGCCCCATTGTTGGTGTCAGTGGGAAGAATAGTGGCCCATTGTTGGTGTCAGTGGGAAGAATAGTGGCCCATTGTTGGTATGACACCATAATGACATAATGACTATGAGGAATAGTGCCCCATAGTTGGTGTCAATGGGAGAAATAGTGTCCCGTTGTTGATGTCAATAGCAGGAATTATATCCCATTGTTGGCATCGGTGAGAGGAATAGTGTCTTGTATCAATGGGAGGAAAAGTTCCCCAACAGCCAGATAAAGGCAAGCAAAGGGCCACATCTGGCCCCTGGGTCTCAGTTTGGAGAACGCTGGTCTAACAGGACACAAGTCCAGTGATTGACAGATGAGGAGGTCTTCATTAGAAAAGTTAACTAATATGTGGTCACCCCAATCTTCTCGCCCTACAGCGATGACATACAGAGAGCAGCAGTGTGCCGTCTATAACCACCGGACAGACCTCTTCAAGGGTTTTCCATCGCCCATGGACTGGGTTCCCCGCTACAATGGAATCGCAGAGAAAGACCAGTGCAAGCTCACCTGCCAATCACGTCCTTTGGGTTTACTATTATGTCCTGGAGCCACGGGTGAGTCCCATATCTAAGAACTGCTATTCTTCTACCATTTCACGCCGTGGAATAAGAATGGATATTTCCAATGTAGTTTCTACTGTGATTATGGAATGGAATGCCAACTCCCATAGAAGAGCATTACATGGACACAGTTGGTTCTATAGCCCCATGCTTTCACACATTTTGACCAGTAATGGTAACCAAATCTCCCTGTTTTCTCTGGTTCCAGGTGGCAGATGGTACTCCATGCTCTATGGACTCCTCTTCTGTATGTGTACAGGGGCGCTGCGTCCACGCTGGCTGCGACCGAGTTATCGGATCCAAGAAGAAATTCGATAAGTGCATGGTGTGCGGTGGGAACGGCTCTGCCTGTACCAAGACCTATGGATCGTTTACAAAACCACGGTGAGACACCACAGGATTTTCAAACACCCAATTTAGAGTTGTCATGTCAGGCCAACTGGGCAAATGCCATAGGCTATATTGGGAAAGAGGATGTTAGAATAGTTGGGAAGTCCGACAAGTACAAAGGAGACTCTGTATCTGGTTATTGTCCGCTTTTCTGGCCTTCACATATATATATATACAGAGTCAGGAACGTATCTTGATTAGGTTGGTTGCTTTCCATATAGAATGTTCTCTGGCACCTATATGAGTACTTTGTTGTTCAATGGCAACAAGCCAGTCTTCAAGAGACATGCCGACTTGAAAATTTGTAAAATATGATCTTTAGGTCTACTACTAATGTTTTGTACTGGAATGATTATCCTCAAACATTTGTTTTCTGCTTTCAGGTACGGCTACAATGACGTGGTCACCATCCCAGCAGGGGCCACAAATATTTTGATACGTCAGAACAGCGGGTCATCCTCAACAAGCGATGGAGTCTATCTGGCCTTAAAAAGACAAGATGGAACCTACGCCCTCAATGGAAACTACATCCTGGTGCCCTCAGAAGTGGACGTTAACATTGGGGGAGGGTTGACTCTACGGTACAGCGGGGCAACCAAAGCCATGGAAACCATTGTTGGACGTGGACCCCTGAAAGAGTCCATTACTATCCAGGCTTTAGTTGTCAGTGACCAGAGAGCTCCACGTCTCAAATACACTTTCTTTGTCCCCAAACCTACCACCAGGACCACACAAGCCAAGAAACCAACAGAAGACTGGATGAAACGGCGGGCGCAGATACTCGAAATTTTGAGGAAGACCAGAAACAACCACAAATGATGAGTAGAAGATGTACTGGGACAATTATGTCTCAATTCACAGAGACAAGCTAGCACATTCCAACCTAGTTTCTCTAAGGGAGGAAGTTTACGTGTTTTGCAGGCAGCATCTTCAAGCCATGCATATAAAGAACTGGATGGTACCATCTTTCACAAAATGTTCTCGAAAATATCCGGGGCTGAAATGAATGGGCAACATCCTGTAAACCATTTAATGGCCAGCTCTACCACCAAGTCATTAAGAAATATATTTCAAAAGAGGTGACCAGAGGTGGTACAGATGGTCTTGCCAAAAAAAGCCTAAAAAAACATCAACAGACTGTTGTATAGCTCGAAAGAAACAAAGGAAAGCCACCTGGACTCAAAGTAGACATTATTGAGTCTTCACTAAGCCCGTGCTGTTGGCTGGTCCACCACCGGCGGCTCCCCTTTGGACTTTTTCCCCTTTGGCCTTCGGCCTACTTTGGCCAACTGTTTTCTATTGCCAATGGACTTTGAACGTCAAAGGTGAACTGGGGACCACCACCACCACAGTCTTCCAGGAACTTTGAAAGTTATCTGTGATCACTGCAGTGTTCAAAAAAAGAAAAAAAAGGGTTTGCCGTTGCTGAGGCAATCAAAAAATTCAGCGTCAAACTCTACGGTAGCTTGTAAGAGGAGTTGATTCCTCATTCACTATGGACTGAAAGTAGGGTCTGGATACCCATATTATTTAATAGGAACATAAAATAATTAGCTAGGATAACTATGTTGATAACACTTTCCTGAGGGACAGCCTGAGAGGGTTGGAGACTGTCCACAGAAACGAGAAGCTCTCATGTTCTGGAATGCCCTTCGAGAGGAACCGGAAGAAGAGTTTTTTTTTTTTTTTTGTGAATAGCTTTTCGTAGGCATAGAAGTGATTGATGGGGGGGGGGGGATTTGGATGGATCTTGTTCGCTACTGTAAAGCCCAACATGAGCAACGCCTGGCGGTTCTGGCCAGACTCTTGGTCCTGCTCACACTCAGCATGAGGTTTCTTTTTTTAAATGTTCAAAATCCATTCTAATTTATATGTCCGTCGTGCCTTTATATAGTCTTCAAACGTGAGATCTGGTGCTAAACAGGGCTCTCTCCATCCCAATCCAGCCTGGGTGATAGGATTTGGCCTTGGATGGTGTAGCTGCAGGTGATTCGGCAGATTTGGCCTTGGATGGTGTAGCTGCAAGGCAGGGGCGGACTGACAACTCATGGGGACCCCAGGGCAATAGGGGATCATGGGGCCCCTGTGTCCTCGCCCACACTCAAACCACACCCAAAAAAGCATATGAAAGGTACCAGGGGCATCTCATGGGGCCCCCCACTGACCCTGGGCCCTTGGGCAGTGCCCGAGTGCCTAAATGGTGAGTCCGCCCCTGGCCGCAGGTGATTTGGCAAATTTGGCCTTGGATGGTGTAGCTGCAGGTGCTTTGGCAGATTTGGCCTTGGATGGTGTAGCTGCAGGCAGGGGTGGACTGACAACTCATGGGGACCCCGGACAATAGGGGATCATGGGGCCCCTGTGTCCTTGCCCACACTCAAACCACACCCAAAAAAGCATATGAAAGGTACCAGGGACATCTCATGGGGCCCCCTACTGACCCTGGGCCCTTGGGCAGTGCCCGAGTGCCTAAATGGTGAGTCCGCCCCTGGCTGCAGGTGATTTGGCAGATTGGCCTTTGGCCTTGGATGGTGTAGCTGCAGACAGGGGCGGACTGACAACTTATGGGGCCCCAGGGCAATAGGAAATCATGGGGCCCCTGTGTCCTTGCCCACACTCAAACCACACCCAAAAAAGCATATGAAAGGTACCAGGGACATCTCATGGGGCCTCCTACTGACCCTGGGCCCTTGGGTAGTGCCCGAGTGCCTAAATGGTCAGTCCGCCCCTGGCTGCAGGTGATTTGGCAGATTTGGTTTTGGATGGTGTAGCTGCAGACAGGGGCAGACTGACAACTCATGGGGACCCCGGGCAATAGGGGATCATGGGGCCCCTGTGTCCTCGCCCACACTCAAACCACACCCAAAAAAGCATATGAAAGGTACCAGGGACATCTCATGGGGCCCCCTACTGACCCTGGGCCCTCTGGTAGTGCCCGAGTGCCTAAATGGTTAGTCCGCCCCTGGCCGCAGGTGGTGATTTGGCAGATTTGGCCTTGGATGGTGTATCTCAGGGGTAGGCAACCTGCGTCTCTCCAGCTGTTGCAGGACTACAAGTTCCATCATGCCTCTGCAAGTCATAGCTGTAACCAGGGGCGGACTGACAACTCATGGGGCCCCCGGGCAATAGGAGATCATGGGGCCCCTGTGTCCTTGCCCAAACTCAAAAAAGCCTATGAAAATGGTACCAAGGGCATCTCAAGGGGCCCCCTACTGACCCCAGGCCCTCAAGCAGTGCCCGAGTTTCCAAATGGTCAGTCCGCCCCTGGCTGTAACTGTCAATTTTGAAATGCCCCATGGGAAATGTAGTTCCGCAACAGCTAGAGAGCCGCAGGTTGCCTACCCCCGGTGTAGCTGCAGGTGATCCTTTGGGAAAACCTAAGGAACCATGGACTAAGTTGTACATTGAGGCTAGAGGACCGATGGTGACCCTTGGTTTATCCTGCTGTAAGGACATATCAAAACTTACTGGTGGTGCTACAACAACTCAAAAATTCCACTACCTTTAGTTCTCGGGAACTTTCATTTATAGTGCCGGTAGGAACTGCTGTTTGTTGCTGCATCGATCGGTCCTCGATGGCATGTACAAACCTCTAACAAGTTGTATTTATATATTTTATTATTGTGTCTCCATGTCTTACATTTGGATGAAGAGGCCCTAGTAGACTGCAAAGAATCAGGACTAACGGACCACGTGGAGCTTTAGCAAACAAACGAAGGATGGCATTGGATGTAGTTTCGAAAGTGAACAAAAGGTTCCCAAGGATCCTCCGTAATAGGCGCTCTACTGCACTGCAGATGTGTGAACATGTGTCTTCGTTTAGCGGCCCATTATGGATCGTATCATAACATCTGCAAACGCTTAAATATTTGGGGGGTTAAAGGTGGCCACAGAAACCCAAATCTTTTGTCTGATTCAATGTTCAACCTTCGACTAGGCTGGAATTATGAGGGGGAACCCACACATCCGAAGTGCAGTAGAGCAGAGATTAGAGCTGGGATACTTCGGCTTAATCCCGGAGATTCTCGGAGATTCTCGTTCTAGAAGTTCAATGATATTCGCCATCATCTCCTTCAACCATATCGGGTCTATCAAAGAGAAGGTACTAAAAGAACTCTAATCATTTTTGGTAGTGTCCATTTTTTTTTTTTTAAATAAATGATGGGGATATCCCAGTCCTCCATAAAAGGTTCCACGTAACCACTAATGTTCAGAAGACGCCATAGAGCACCGAGCATCACGAGGGTTTACCGATGTTAGCATCCCGCTTTATGACTATCCATGGTCACATGACACAGAATCAGACATGCCCCACCTCCTGAAAGCACTCTAAGCATCTAATCACACCCACCCAGGGCTGTGACCTAATGGTTACAGGTACAGAGCATGCCCAGTGTTTGCTGCAATGGTTGGGAGTCGGGACTCTCAGGACTGCACATAGGGCCAACTGAATGAAGGGACAGCCAACAATTCCTCAAATCAGTGTTTAATTATGGTGATTTTATATTATTATTTTTTGTCCTTTTTTTTTATTTTCCATTGTTAAGAAATGCACAAAACTTATTTAAAAACTATTTATATAAAATAAAAAAATAAAATATTAATTATCAATGTGTTGAATTTATTGTGTTGTGTTCTTTGCATTCCTGATGTTGAAGATAGAAATATAGATAGATACATAATAGAGTAGCTGGATATAGATTAATAGATAGTTAGATAGATAGACAGATAGATGGATGGATAGATAGAAAGACAGACGGATAGATACTAATAGATAGAAATATAGATACATAATAGAGTAGCTGGATACAGATTAATAGATAGTTTAATTAGATAGATATGGGTAGAAAGACAGACGGACGGATAGATATAGACAGACAGACAGATAGATAGATAGATAGATAGATAGATAGATAGATAGATAGATAGATAGATAGATAGATAGATAGATAGATAGATAATAGATAGATACTAATAGATAGACAGACAGACAGATAGATACTATACATAGCGTACAGATGGATTCATGATATAGTATAGTTTAACAGGTAGAGAGCAAGATGGGTGGGTAGGGTAGATACACCCCAGAAGATGTCATATGTGACAAAAGCCTACGGTGGAGCCGACGTTTGTGACGTCATCACGCTTCACGAAACCCCTGTCATCTGCCTGGCTAGCAGTGGCCCCTGTCGTCTGTCCTGTTAGTGACCCCTCTTGTCTGCCCTGTCAGCAGTGACCCCTCTTGTCTGCCCTGTCAGCAGTGAGCCCTGTTCTCTGCCCTGCCAGCAGTGACCCATCCTCTGCTCTACCAGAGTGTCTGTCTTCTGTCCTACCAGCAGTGACTCGTCTTCTACGGTACCAGCCGTGACCCATCCTCTGCCCTACCAGCCGTGACCTGTCATACCAGCAGTGACCCGTCCTCGCCCTACCAGCAACCCCTGTCCTCTGCCCTACCTAGCAGTGACCCGTCCTCTGCCCTGCCAGCAGTGACCCCCTCTCTGCCCTCTGCCCTGTCAGCAGTGACCCGTCTCTTTCTGCCCTACCAGCAGTGACCCGTCCTCTGCCCTACCAGCAGTGACCCGTCCTCTACCCTGCCAGCAGTGACCCGTCCTCTGCCCCACCAGCACAGGGTGATACACCCCAGAAGATGTCATATGTGACAAAAAGCGTACTGGAGCCGACGTTTGTGACGTCATCACGCTTCCCGAAACCCCCCCTGCCTCTAGCTCTGCCTACCAGCAGTGACCCTGCCTCTGTCTGCCCTGACCAGCAGTGACCCTCCTCTGCTGCCTACCAGCAGTGACCCCTCTTCCTCTGCCCTA